GGGGAGGCGAGGGGGTGTGGTGTGGGCTTGCCCGGTGCCAGTCGGGACGGGACGCGTCCGGAAAAACGCGAGCCGGTCTCGGGCCGCTGCTCTCCGCCCCGCCTCGCGGAGCGGCGCCGGGTAGGCAGGCGGGGAGCCGCCGAGTCAGCCGCGGCGCGGGCCGGGCGCGCGGGGGGCGTTTCGGACGCTGTCCCGGGCGAGCCGAGCCGGCAGCCGGCGTCCCCCCACCACCGAGCGTTAGCCCCCCACCACCACCGCGGGCCCACACTGTGTCAGGCGAGGGGGGAGAGGGGGAAGGCAGTGTGTGCGTGCGCGTGTGAGGGGGGAACACTGTACAGTAAATCTGAAATCTGAGCATGGGCTGAGGAGGCATGGCATGAGGCGTGCCTCAAAAAACGCTGGATGCAATGGTGTTGAGGGGGGGGGGCAAGCGAAGTGCCATTCGAACCAGGGAGTCGTTCATCGATTGGTGATTGGAGATTTTTGTTGCACTATACGTCTGCGTTGGGAATGAGATACACTCTGCACTCGCCTCCAGCAAGCCAATTATACAAACCGAGCCCAGTTACACATAGACGTTGATTTCAATAAGGAAATCCAGCGAAAGTTGTAATTCAGTTATTTCAACACGCTTTCCGTCGATACGAGTAGCCCAATTCCGTGTCGATATGCTTCTCGACATCTACAGATGGGCTCAGGACACACGAGCTTAAAAACAATTCGGTCAATACCCCGCGCGCTCGCGCATGGGGTATTTGCAGATGCATCATCATTGTAGGAGGAGTCTAACTCACTCCGGACACTTTCGGGCGGTTTTGCCTATCATCGCTGGCTTCGGCACCGCTCCGGGCGAGTAGGCAACCCGCCCGCACGGGCGCATGCGGTACAGTATAACTACGAAAGTGCGCGGCGTGGGCCAGCGCCAGGGGCATATGTTCCCCAAGTCCTACAGAGCAAAGAAAAAGTAAACTTAAAATAAACAAGCTGTTTTTGGTTTATTTTTGATGATAACAGCAAAATACAATTCCAAATCAAAATTTGAAACAAATGAAAAATGAAACATTTAAAAATCTGATTTAATACCTGCGTCAAATTTTGACTTAGAGCATTCCCTTTTTCCCGATTGAACTAGTAACATATACAACACAAGTTCTAAGGTAAGGTTTCAAGGAACTGTGCAGTACCTATAGGCCTAATAGGTATGGTGTCAATATTTTAAAATACACAACAAAGTAAAGAATTGGAGAAATATTGTAATCAAAGAGAAATTTAACCATGTTATGGCTCTTACAAACGAATGGTAACCAACAGCGCCCATAAACATACAATTATACTATGAAATGATATATATGGTGGACAAGGGGACAGAAGTACAGTCTCTGAAATGACAAGAAGAAATTAGTTTCTATGAAATAAAGTATGATCGATCACATTACTCAAAAATAAATCTAATTGCAAATTATTTAACTTTAACCACACTATGCAAGTTAAAGTTAAAAGATTAACAAAAAAGAGAGAGTGTCATTGACTTGATTGTCTGGCTTTTAATTTGGCTAAGAGAAATGCTCCACCATGCACTCTAAAATGTTTTTGAAGCATAAATGCAGTCTCGAATTTTTGTCTACATACAGTACACTGATTTTCCTGCAGTTCCTCTGATTCTAAACTTTCTACATCAACAGGGTCTTCTTCACCGTCACTAGTCCGATCCTGAAATCCATGATCAATTAAATACTTGTTAACATTCTTAATTCCATGACCTACAATTAGATGTTTTTCTAAAGGTGGGCGAACAATGAAACACAATCCACACTGTGGACACTGCAAGTCAGATGGATTAGATTTATGGGAAAGTATGTGGGTTTTAAAAGATTCAGAATTCTCACTTTTAAACATGCATTTGTAACACTCAAAACTACTAACCTTTGCTTGTGTAGTTCTACCAACACAGGACGATTTTCTAAAATGCAATCCCTTGCCTGCCTTTTTCTTCGCTATTTTTGTTTCAGTCATAGTAAAATCATTATTTCTCAAACAGATTAAAAAGTTCTCTACAGCTTTTTTATCCTTTTCACTTACTGCTTCTTTGGATCTTGTAGAAACAGACTGCAATGAAAGGCGGTTGTTACCCTCTTGATGCACTGCATTCAAGAAGATATCTAAGTGCTCAGTGGAAAAGTGTTCTTTAAGAGCCGCTGTATCTAGGACAACTGAAACTACTTTTTTACAAAGTTTGCAGACAGCTTTTTTCTCCAGACTTTCTGGGGGTTTAGAAAACCCAACATCAGAAACTAAAATGTCTTGAGATCTATTGGGCAGAGGATTCACTTTGCTAAATTGAGGTTTTTTACAATTGTTTGGACTGACATCAATTTCATTACCTGGACTAGAATTTCCTGGAAGCAAAGCAGGCTGTGGCTTTTGAGGCAAAATCTGTACTGAATCATTAACATCTCTAGGAACTGCATGCATTGGTGAAGAAACAGCATGAACAAGCAGCTCTTGTGACACACTTTTTTGGTTGACAACAGTACAGTTTATATCACCTTTAGGCGGACAGTCTTTTTTGTGATTTAGCATAAAAGTTTTAGAAGAGAAAATTATTTTACAATTCTCACACTGATACACTGTTTTAACAGATTTACCATCTGATGTGTGAGATGCAGCATGATCCTGAAGCATATCTAGACTTATATTAAGATCTGGACACTTGTCACATACCACTCGTGTACAAAGATTAGCTGTCTCAGAATTTTGTGCAACATCTGCTAATTTGTGCTTGTTAAGCCTATGCTTGTTGAGCTGCTTTAATGAATCAACTTTATCTCCACATATGTGGCACACAAAAAATATTTGAAGATGTTTTTCAACAAAATGATCTGTGAAGGAAGAGAGAATTGCAAAATCAAAATTGCAATCACTACATTCAAACAAGGAACACTTCAGATGATGGAGGCATTCTTCTTCCATATGGTTTAGTAAAATTGAAGAATTGAGGAAAACCTCTCCACAGTCTGGACATAGATGTGGAGGCTTCATCATGTGAAATCTTTCATGAGCAGTTAGAGCACATTTTGTAGGTAGAGTATATGCACATTCCTTACACTTTAAGGAACAATCAGCAGCAGGTCTGTTTGTAGGTGTAAAATCACTCGGCTCTTCTCCCTGGAAGTGCAATTTCAGAGAAATCACAGGTCCAAAACATTCTGGACATTTATAAGAGTTAGATGACGTATGCCTGAACACAGCTTCACATTCATTCTCATTTTCACTCAAAGGTAAACAAAGTAGATCTTCTGGATGTAGATTATCAGCATCCATTTCATGTGACATAATGTGCAGTAGCAGGATGCACCTATTGTCAAACAACAATTGAATCTTGCATACTGGGCATCTATATGAAAATTTAGAAGTCTTTCTTCTCATATGACATGTAAGGCTGGTTTCCAAGACAAATCTGGATTGAATAGAAGATAGACATAAGACAAAACAGTGCCAACAGTAGTAGAGAGATCAATCAAGTCCATTTCTAAAAATGAAACTTACCTGTCACCACATGCCTTACAATCAAAATAAGATCCCTTAAAAAATCTTACATCATTTTGTTTAGGTTTGTAGAGAGGTATTGATCGCTGAACAACCAGATTTTTATATGCAACAAATAGACTACTATCCACATTGTCTTGTAGTCTATTCAGCGTTGGAACAGGTGATGGTGTAGAGATCTTTGACATATGAAGAGAAACTGGCTTATCACTGTTTTTAGAGATTTTCTTGGCATTGTCATGAAGTTTGGAAGGTATGTTATGGATTGAAGAATTAGAAACAGATCTTTGAGAAACGGTGACAATTTTTCTATTCAGTTTATCTCTTGCTTTCATAGGGACTTTTTTTAATGGTGCAACAGCATCCCCTTCAGAGATTATTATTTTCTTCTTCTTTTTCAAAGTCTTGGAATTAACTTTCTTATCTGGTATTTTTGATTGGTGTTTAGCTGGAGGTACACTAGAATCAGCATCTTCTGATGATGCAGTTGCATCTGGAATGACTAGTTTTTCAGGAGGCCTTTGTACATTAGATGTGTTACTACTTTGGGGTTCATTTGTCCATACACAATTAATGTAATCCTTTGATACTTTCATAGAAAGCAGATCTTCTATGTCGTCAGATGTATTTTCTTCATCTTTAATACTGGTACAGTTGCTCATTTTGGTTTCTTTCTTGCCAGTTTTATCTGTGTCTAAGACTATAGTTTGGTTGGCAGGTCTATTATGAGGTTGATTAGCACAGATTACTGGGGGTCTTCCATTATTGTTCACTTGATTCAGATTACCATCTTCAATCTCAGGTACACAGTTGGGGGTTTTCCATAAAAAATTGTCAGCACATGAGCTTATTGGGAGCTCAGTGGAAGATTGTGTATCAGTCATATTCTCAGTGTCATATTTCAACTGAGACTCAACTGCAGAAATAAAATATGATTCACATGTCTTCATAGCTATAAGACTCGAAGGTATATTTGAACAGTCCAACAACAACTGTTAAATCCTGGCGAGTGACAGAACTCAAGTCATTCAGAGGTACGTAACGGCAAATACTGGCTGTACCTGAACTTCAAAGGAGACTGTTTCCTTACTGACAGGTGCATTAATGAAGTACTCAACAGTAGCACAGGTGCCTTCCTGCTCATGTGCAGCGCACCACCCAAAATCCATAATCTGCAAAGGAGAAACAACATACTTATTAATATCAGTTGTCTGTGTATAATGTATTTGAATAAAAAGTAAATAAATAATAACAATACAACGGATCACAAGATATGATCAGAACTGCTGGGTAAGAGGTTACATGTTCATGAGGCAAGGAACCACATATTGGTTCTCTGTCACACAAGAACAAATGACAGCTCACCCAGCCAAAATTTCCAAGTTTGCTATCCTAGTCAATTGCAGTCGCCGACTATCAATATGACAAAACGCAACATATAATGTCAAGGGAATAGATCAATAGCAAACATGGTATGATTATGAAAACAACACAAGTGACATCATTTGTATCGTTATCAGTACACATTTCTGGGGAAGAACCACAACATACAGTGCACACAACTCCTGCAGGAATATTTTTCAGCCGCAGATGTAACTAAAATTTCCAATTTTCCTCAGAATCTGGTGTCAAGTTGTCAGGGTTCAGGCAGGGTGTTGCCATGGCTGGGGGCGGATAACGCCGATCTCATTATGGGTCCTCGGTCATCTGACTGAAAATAACTATTCCGCACTGTTTGTACGAAACTAACCTAACCATCCGCCGTGGAGGTGACGTCGAACTGAAACTGAGTTTCATGACAAAGTGTGGGAACATCACTCAAAATTTCACAAATAAGAAAAATTATGAGTTCTACTCTTAAGTTTATAGGTATGTCGCATAGCTACCGTTGTCATGCTCACAATGGCAGCGTTATCGTAGAGATGTTGTTTTGGGCCAAAACACTTAGCTACTTTAAAAGCACCAACACCTCTTTAATTTAAAAATACCATCTAAATCTCGTTAATAAAATGTACATATTCTTGATGTAACAATATCCACTTGATTTATCAACTAAATAAAATGTGGAAATTTGTAACAACTTATTTTACTTTTGCAGATATTGGAGCAAACCTCACAGACCCTATGTATCAGGGAATTTATCATGAAAGTAAGAAGCATGCACCAGATCTCAGTGATGTATTGATTAGAGCATGGAACCAAGGTCTGACAAAAATAATCATCACTGGTGGAAGCCTGGAAGATAGTAAGAAAGCGTTAGATGTAGCCAAGACTGATGGTATGTACCTAAATGTGTATCTGCTTTGCTTGCCTTAATGGTCGAGAGCTCAAAATTAATTAACTATATCTTTTCCTGTCAGCTAAGCTTTTCAGTACTGTGGGTTGTCATCCCACCCGAAGTCTTGAGTTCGAAAAGAATGGGGACCCAGAAATGTACATTAAAGGCTTGGAAGACTTATGCACCAATAATGGAGAGAAAGTTGTTGCCTTTGGAGAGTTTGGCTTAGATTATGACCGCATTGAATTTGCTCCTCAAGATATCCAGATTAAGTATGACACCATTCTACCTGAAATAGTATTCAAGTTACTCTGACTTTTGAATTAAAATCTAAAACAATTTATTTAGGTATTTCAAAGAACAATTGAAGTTGAATGAAAAATTACGTCTTCCAATGTTTTTGCACTGCCGGGCTGCATCTTCTGATTTTCTTAACATAATTGGATCTCACAAGTCTTTGATAGAAGAATGTGGAGGAGTGGTTCACTCATTTGATGGAAGTGCTGAAGATGTTAAAGTTATAACAGGATTGGGACTTCATATTGGAATCAATGGATGGTGAGTAGCTGACCTCTCTTCTTTGCGGAATGGGTTTATCCTTCAAATGCATTCATATTCACATGTTCTTCAAGCTCCTTAAAAACAGAAGAAAATTTACAAGTTGTGAAAATGATCCCGAATGAGAGTTTAATGATTGAAACCGATTGTCCATGGTGTGAAGTGCGACCTCGTCATGCTGGTTATTCCCTTATTAAAACACAGTTTCCATGTGTTAAAAAAGAAAAATGGCAAAGCGGATCCATGGTAAAGAGTCGAAATGAGCCTGCTAACATAATGTAAGCAAATGTATGCTAACATGCAATTTAAAAAAGATAGCAAAAAACCGCCTGTACAATTTAATTTTTTGTTGCAGACAAGTTATGGAAATTATTGCCAATTTAAAAGGAGAGGATATCTCAAAATTATCTAAGCAAATTTTTGAAAACACAATGAAAGTGTTTTTTAAATCAGAGAAATTAAATGTTTAATATTGTGATAAAGTGGGATGAAGAGTAAGGTATAAATAAGTCAAAGTGCAGTATGTTTTTTTCTTTTTTTGATTAATTAATCTTTACATTAACTGACCACAGATCAACGACACAATGAAACATGATGAGCTGTTCTCCCTCACTCAAAAGAACTACTAACTACCACAATAAACTTCTATGACACCAGGATCAATCCAAGCTCAATTTTAACAAATGGAGAACCTGGCCTGAGTGAGAAGGGAAAAGCTTATCAGTTTGATAACAGGGGCTTAATTATGAACTGATACAACAATTAAACACAGACTGCAGTCACAGAGTTAGCAATTCATGACACTGTTTTATTAAACTACTTGACCATATTGACTTGTTCTTAAATTTTTCTCAAAACAAAACTGATCACATGTGTACAAAAGCATGAAGTTGGTCACCAACATCTATCATATGAAGAATTCAAAATGAAGAGAGGATGTAAATGATAATTCTTGATGAAAGATGAATAAGAGAGACATGCAATACAGTTTGAAAGATGGGAAGATGACGTATCACATGCAATTGACCTATAGTAAATAAAACATGTATGAAAATGTCTTTCCAAATATTCTGTTCAAAACTAATGTTTGTATGACCTTAGAGTTAAGGTCTTGGTTTTTGGTAATGGCTGGGATCATTGATTATGCAAAACGTGACCAAAGTGAAATTATAATATTGCTTCAGGACCTGAGGAGGTCACATTAACATCAGGACATTATGTGGGTCAAACAATCTAGTCACACGATCTTAAAATGCCTCAACATTTGCGATTCAGGCTCAGTCTCATAAGAAATTTAATTTGTAATAAATAATTAGTGATTCAAACATACATAAAGATGGATATGAATTGGCCTGACAACCTAAACGTGACATCATAGTAAAATAAAAAAAAGCACCACAATACTTCCTTGCTTCACTTATTTCATCAGTGAGCTATCCTCTACATACGTATATGATATACTAAGAAATCCTGTAATTGAATAGTTAAAAAAACAAACTGTGCTAGTACAATTACCTGGAGAGCAGTAGGTATATATTTCAGATATCACACAATGTTGGTTGACTTAGATCTATTATTGGCCTACTTGCAGGCTCAAATCACACTTGAACAGACTTCGATCCCCTTTTGGACAAAGTTAAGAGCTGCCTTTAGAGACAACTTTGACAACAAAAAGTTAGAAGACACTATCAATGCTCAAACGTTTTAGCCCATGTTTAGATGAGCAGCTAAACTCAAACACAAACATGAAAAAATATGCCAGCAACAAATATTACGTAATGTCCTTGGAAGCCATTCCACTTGATGACACAATTACAGACGGGCAGAGTAAATTTGTCAGTGACTTAGCTCTGGTACAGGTATTTCCAAAGAAGTATTTTCACTAGGGTCGATTTCTTGCTGAAGGGGTGGCGGTGGAGGTCGGAATACTTCGGCATACTTCAGAAGCTTGTGGGAGCTTTCCTTATATTCTTCTATGCGTTGTGGACATGAACCAAAGTCACCAGCCTGAAGAGCTTGAAGAACTCTAGAACAATTCTGAAAAATAGGTAAAAGACGCAATTAAGAACACACAAACAGGAAAAGATCTTAATAAAATTTTACGTTTACTATTTAAACTAGCAACTAACCTTAATATTGATCCCAGTTACATCCTGAAGTTTTGTAGCCAATTGAATGGCTTCCTCCTGCCTATTTTTCTCTAAGAAGTACATCATACGTGCACCTGTAAAGAAAAACATGAAATAGTGTTGATTCCAACTTAACTGTCTTAAAGGAAAAACAGATTTAGTAGTTTGGAAAGAAATAAACCTTGAAGTAGGGCTGGCAAAGAATTTCCATTCATCTTTAGAAAATCTTCATTCATTTGCTTTGCAGAGCGTCCTAGTGTGATAGGTTCTATGGCCTGCTTGATGACATCAGTAACAGGAGCATCCAAAGTGTCAAGCTTTGCTGAGACAAGTTCTACAAAGCGAACGAGGCATGTGTGCAGATCACTGTTTCCAGGCTCAAGGCGGTAAGCTCGTTTAATAGACTGCAGCATTAGCAGTAGCTTTCCTGTTGAGTCAAAAAAAGGTGGCATGAATAAAAATGTATAACCTAGCAGTCTTCAGAAAAAGAACAAAAATAAAAAAAAAACAATATCCTTCAAATTCAGATGTGTCTCTCTACCTTTTCTATAGTAAATTTCGAATGCCATGAGGTGGGTTTCGATGTTCTTCGATGCCAAATCCTGAAGGGGCTTGAGAAATTTAATGGCTTGATCCAGGGGATCTTCGGCCTAAAATATGGACAAAAACAAACAAACAAAGTGTTAGGAACATTACATTACAACAACACGACAGTCATCTGCAAGAGGCCAGCAGCAGGTGCCTGATGGGTGGCCAGCCCACCGGGCGTCGAGAGGGACGCACGCCGGATGGGTGGCCTACCCCCCCGGCGCCGGCATGCCGCTCGGACACTCACCCGCGCAAGCTTGTCGGGGATAAGCTCGTCCTGGTGGGGTGCGTCGGGCTCCTCGCCGGGCGCCTTCCGCTGCTGCTGCTTCTCGGCCTTCTCGGCCTTTTCCTGTCGCTCCAGCTCCGCCTTCCGCCGGGCCTTCCGTTGCTTGTTGCGAAGCTTCTTCAGCTCGGAGGGCGCGAGGTTCTCTGCAACAGACAGACACGCGTCGTCAGCTTTCTCTCTCTCTCTCTCTCTCTCTCTCTCTCTCTCTCTCTCTCTCTCTCCCACACACACACGATTGTAGGACGGCTGCGGGTGGCCGCAGGCAGGGTGAGTACCGCACAGCAACGGGTAGGAAGGGCGGGGGAGGGGCAAGTGCAGCGGTTAAAAGGGACCGGAGAGGGTTTAGGGAGGGGGAGGGGGGCAGTTTACATAATCAAGGTCCTACAAGCCAAGAACGGCCAGGCCGGGC